GTAGACATGAAGCAGTACAGAGTAGTGTGTCGTCGTAGCATTGTCCACGTTAGGTGTAATCACCGTGTGAGTAGTGTTGAGGTCAGGCGAAGGGTACTAGCCAAGAAAGGCAAGTTGATTGTTGAGGTAGTTCAGCTAATACTGAGCATCAAAATAAAAGCTGACCAGGCATAACAGGTCCCAGCTGTCTCAGTTTACGAAGGTACACATCAACTGACTCACGTCTTCTAACTAGAACTTCTACAGTAGTGATATTGTGATTCCAAAGCAGGTGGTTAATGCTGCAAAAGCCATGGTGGTCAAACACCAAAAGCCTTCTCAAGTTTTCCACCTTTAATGTCTGTTCTACAGCCATTCAACAGAACAGAGAGAACTGTTGCACAGCATACTCAATAGGCAATCAAATACCTCGTCAGCACCATAGATGGTATAATTTAGCAAACGGAGAACAAATGTCTGAAATTTTCAGGGATAGAAATAGAGGACTGTCTAGACTAATTGTGCCATTTTAAATTGCCAAACTTCGAGTCAATACAAAACGTAAACCACCAAAAAGGATATCAAAGGAATGAAAACACTGATGAGGACTCCAGGAAACGAAAGTATTAGACCAAGACAAAAATGCATAAAACAAAATGCTGAGGATTTGAATGGGAAAATTAAGGCACGAAAGTACGTATTACACTGTAGCGTACTCTCTATATTATCCTTACAGACCTCAAACCATGTATTTCCGTTATCGCCTGAATCCCAGCAAAGGAGAACAAAGCTTCTTTGCACCACCCAAACCAAAGATCACAGACCACCTTAAACCTGCTTGTAACACAATCCTTCTGCAGTTAACAATGCATGTTAAGGTAGATGGTGCATAATCAGGCATAAAATAAATGACATCCAGCATATTCAGTCAAAATTCAAAACCCCAAATAACTGATTTACATTCTTAGCTACATGACTAGCGTCTATGATCACAACATTTTGATCAGTGGATTCAGTATTAAGTGGGCGATGTTGACGTTAGGCAGAGGGTACTAAGAAAGGAAAACATTTAAGTTGATATGCTTGTGAACCTTCACAGACTGCGGTGTTTAGTGCAAGCACATCCAAAATCTAACGATGTTCAATGTTAAATGATGTTAGGCTGTGTTGGAGGAGAGTTAAGGGTGGCCAGAACAAAACACGAATAACAAGAACGAGATCTTTTACGAGCGACGAAATATTTCTTCTCAACAACTTTATAATCAAGCTGCACAGTCGTATTTATAATTGGTAGAATGCCAAAACGTTGCTCAGTCAGTATATGCAGGATACAATTGGTGAGGGGACTGATTTAAGTGAATGAAATGGAAAGTACTCAATGAAAAAACTGATTTCAAAAGGTAAGAAAAGGGTAAACAGTTATCAGAGAAGTGCATAATGATGATAATCAGACTCAAGTATGCAAACTGAAGTGAAATTAGAAAACAAACAAAAAGTGCATTATGGTCAAGGTAGAGAAAAGGGTTTCACAAAAAATTTTTGAATGCATAATTTCGGCTTTTGATCACGCATAGCTAGTGCTGTAGCTATGTACAAGTTATGGAAACATCTACCTTTGCAGCAGCTTAGTTTACCTCCACAAATTTCCTTACAAGAAGGATCTCGAGGAGCTAAATGACCTGACTCCATTAGCTGCCCACATATGGTTAACCAAATCGGTTAGTGCTTTGCAACGCATCCCCAAAAGAACTTCTTATAACGCCCAACAGCGTCAGCTTCGCAGAAGCATATGAATTTATAGATACACAGATGTGGACATAAGCGGCAACCAATCATTCACGCATTGTTGAGTCAAACGACATTTCGAGTATATAAACGAAGGTAGCAGGATAGAAGGCATTCTTGACACACTTCGATAGACGGCTCTTTGATACTTCAACTGCAGCATCGACTTTGAATTCCAAACACGTGATATTCTTTGGAACTCTAGTAGGGGTGGTGGGTAATTTGTTTTTTATCGAATCTTCTAGTGTATCCATTACTTAATGGTATTCTTCTGAGAGTTTCAGTTCCATGGATATATTCTGTTAGTTTAAAGATCAAAGCATTGGGAAACCCCGTGAAGCCTCTGAGGACTGCCTTAGTGGGATCTTGGGGAGGTTAGGAATAGGCTGGTGAGAAATATTGCTGTTATGGTTGAAGACTGTCCAGATGTACACACTCTCTGATCATAGAAATATTAAACACTTTCCTAACCTTTATCTAATGACTCGCTTTTCTCTTTTTTCCATTTCTTCACCTATTCTTTTTTTGCTATTATGAAGTGTGGGGAACTAATGTGCTTTCCTGTCGATTTCTTCATATGCTAAAGGTCCCAACGCATACGAATGATGTTTCGAAGATGCGGCCATTCAAGTACATATACTTTGTCCTTGATAACCATATTCAACGGCGGTGCAATAGAATAGGAGAGTGTATTCAAATATCTCTCATATGAGAAAGATAAAGTTAGTCGGCAAATATTTACACCAGCCTTTTGTATTAATGATAAGATTTCACACAACGCCAAAGCATTATGGATCCCTGTTATAAAAAAAGTTGAAGTGCTGAGTTACGTCACTCCTACGGTTTAGAAAAGGGAATACGCACAGCTGACTAGTGAAGTAGCTATTATCATTTTACATAAAAAACATTCCGGATGCCTCTATTCGTTTGGCTAAGGGTTTCATCCAGTAGGACAATTTTGTTTGTATGTCCCAAGTTGTTTAGAGAAACTACGAGAGTGATGAATAAAGCCAACGGAAAAGATGGTGATCAAAATAATTCGACGATGGAAAATAAGAGTAAGAGTCAATATGCCTAGTGAAAAAAATGATAACTCGATGCAGTCACTACAAAAGATGAATCAACATACGCTCTGACATCAATAAAAGTGTTAAAACAAACAAATTCAAGTGATGGGTTTGCTTGGGACGCTGAAGTAGTGAAAAATATTGTTACAAAACTCATCCTCACAGTCGAATATCACCCTGAGATCAAAGATGTGAATCCATATCTGCCCATATTCTAAAAGAAGCGACCATGATTTATAAACAAATCTAAACCCCCAACATGCATACCGTAGAAGAATTCCGAGCCAAACAACAGTAACACGATGCTAATATTCGCTGTTGGATAACATAATGGAACAGGTTTACCTGTAAATCAACGGAATTAACACATTTATAGATTTTCCGGAATGATCTTAGAGATGTAACACTGAGAATAAGTTTGTGGAGCTAGAAACTGAAATCCCAAAAACTTGAAAATACTCCAAGTAAATGGCATAGAATGAAACTTTTAGATTTTCTATACAGGCCTTTTTTATCAGAGTGTTGGTAAGATGCAGTATTAGTATAGATCTTAAAATCTCAAGAACAGTGTTACTGAAGATGATCCCTGTGACAACCATGTGAAGATTTCTATCGTTTTAGAAACTCCAGTAGTCAATCATGATGACCGATAAGAGAAAACCAAGTTTAACTACACCTTAAATGATAAGTCAGTCAGTTACACTAATAATTCTATGCCATAATCTTTAAACAACTGAACTCAGATTATTACTTAACTTACGCTTAATTAACAGAGTTTGCAACAAATATGCGACTCGTGTTTCAGAACCCCTGACTAAACTGGAACCATTTAGATAGAACATCATACACCAAACCAACTTCCTAGAAGGATACGTTATTAAGATTGTTTCTAGAAACCTAAGCATTACGAGTGAGTACACATCAATTTCATTTCGCATAATGTCAAACAAATACTAGTTGATCCATTTGTTGTTGCTTTTTTAAATATTAAAGCGACGTAGAATGTAACAGATTGCCAGAAATTAGTGCACTTAATAAGACCATTCTCCACTTTACAAATACACGCCACTAGACAGCTATGAATGTGAAAAACAATAGGGTAAAATTGAAAAAAAAAGCAAGTGTGAATTTTAAACACGAACTATACGAATGCACAGCCACCATCATCACAACGCTGGTGGTAAAATAAGGAGAACAGCAGGCAAAACAGGCATTATTCCAAAACTGATGCATGTACTTCGGTGGTAACAAAAATGCAGAGATACAAGAAATATACGGAGAGCGAAATGTCAAAAAAAAAAGGCAACAATGTAATTGCTTTTAACTACCAACGTATGCTACAAAAAGGAGGTAAATCTAGCAGACACAGAACTGACGGACTGTTGAATTTTTTACATCGAAACATCACTTAATTGACCAAAATGTCTTAAATGAAAAATAAAATTCTCTTTTTCTACAAAATACATTTAGTGTTCGGAAGATAGTACACCAAAAACAGAATAACGAACAACTAATACAAGTATCTGTCTATGGATGCAACTAAACAGAATTATTATGGAAAGACAGTTAAGCGTTTAACAAGAATATATACATATTCAACGCCATACTCTATAGTTTACAATGAGTTTCGACGACATAGGAAGATTTTACTACATGACTTTCATCAAGATATTGCGAAATAAGCGATACAACATCACACAAAATAACACAAACCCAATAGGATGACTAAAGTGGATGATCCAACAAAATTAATCAACGAAGTGGTATTTCATAAAGAGTAAGAATAAGTATAAAGCAGGATCTGGGAAATTATCTGCAGTCAACGAAATCATCAAAATTCATATAATTTAAATAGAAGTTGTCTGAGTAGTAATAGTTGTACATAACAGAATTTCACTAAGTAGAGGCACCAGAGGTTATACAACTCCCATTCTAACAAAACATTACCGCAATAGAATAATACCTGAAGATTACTTACAGCACGTACTAGTTTTTCTCCATAAAATCTTCCAAGCGTTTTTTTATATTCACAGAACACTTCTTGATTATACAAATATAAGTGTAGGCAGATAAGTATGAACCTCTATTGCGATTGATGAAAGTATCAAGTAGACCATGTTTCCAGGTAAATTCGGCAGAGTGATTTTATATAGTGATAGTAGGAACTTTAGCTAATTTGTGCGTGCAGCTGTGCTTAACTGTGTGGCACTAGGATTAGATGGAACTGATATTGGTTTTAACTCTCTAATTTGTTTAATCAAATATTGTTTCTCATCGTTGAATTGGCCATCGTCTGTACGCTCCGTTTGAAAGTTAGTCAAGAAAGAGAGTAACTTCTCCTGATTACGAAATAAAATCATATGAACAGCCGGTGGTTTGTTTGGATTTGCGACAAAAACCTAAAAAATGAAATTGAAAACAATATACATATAGACTAGATAAGTTATGCAGAAGTGAAGCAGGCACCACGAAAAAAGATAAAGTTACGCCTATCAGTAGTAGATAGAAAAGTGAACCCAGTAAAGTGGTATGTGCTCGTGTATTAGGCTGTGAACCACGGTAAATAATTGAGGGTGTATGACATGGCCCAGCTCCCCAGGTCGAAACAGTTGTATGAACTACACTTCAAGAAAAAAGCGCAATAATGCATGAATAAAATAGACTACAGGTAAATGAAAAGTTGGCATATCAGTAGACACAGAATGATAGAAAGTCGATTATTTGACCCTATGTAAAAACTAAGTGCATGTAAATCACTGTGATCATGTGAGACCATCAGTGACTGTTCTTGGAAAAATTAAGTCGAAAGTTAATCAACTTGAGGATTTTTATCCTCGTTTCGCTTAAACATTAAATATTGTGTTCCATTGCATTTTCACTTTAATTGATACACCATTTTCTAGTAATGAGACACTTAGAATCAGGTCTGAGTGCAAAAAGAAAATGATTTATTCTGATAGTTATAAGAATGTAGACTCTGTTTTAGGTATGTTAATTTGAAGATACAAAAATAAACAATGAAGATTATCATAAAACACAAAAACTAGGAAGCCATATAAAGAATCTAGCTGTCATCTAAGTAAAAATGCACTTTTTACAAGAACCAATACAAACAAGCATGTGAATCCGTGCACATTAAGTACATATGGGAGTAGTTAAAAATGCTACAAAATAAGTCAATTTTACAATACATGTTTTATGACACCAAAAATTATGCAGCATAATTAATAGTTTACAAGTAACCACGGGATTATGTAGATGTGTAACGGAAAAATAAACTCTACATAAAAGATCCAACTGAGAATAATGATAATCACTAGCATTCAAGTAGTAAAAATATGAAGAGATTGATGAAAACATTATGATAAAATATACTTTATACGCTAAAAAACTTAAAACCTCAAATATTTCAGCAACTTATGTTGTTACTTTTAGTAACTATCAGCATTTTCATGCATTGGATAGTGAAACATATCAACCATGTATGAGGTTAATATGACTATCTACCTACTCAACCGTCATTGGGCAGAGCGAGGTGTGAACTCTTGACCCACTGATTGGGAGTCAACTGACTAGACCACTGATACACAGCTCATCGTGCACAGCAGCACTCTACTGTGAAAGCCATCACTCAGAAGTAAAGAAACAATTTACCAACCTACTGTAACTTATCACATTTGATTAGACAGATATCTTAAACAAACAGTATACGACACGTACGTCAATTTGGACATACATGATTCAAAGTAGGTGGTTTGTTGATTCGGTAATTCTTCAATTTGTATGACAGGATACTAAAAACAACACATCTAACTTCTCGTAAAATTGACTAAATTTCATAGATCAAGTTGTGTGATTTGACCGCTAACCTGAAAGTATAGGTATAATATTGAACTCCATTCGATTTATAAGAGATGGATTCCATTATTTAAAAATTCCTGTCACGGGAATCAAAACCTGCAATCCCTTTCAATAAGGCCTATTAGTTTACAGATTAAAATTCATACCGCTCAGTTTGCATTGTAATTAAATCCTGTGAGACTGAACGAAGTATAACTTGTTCATATCGAGCTATTCTCTGAGTTAAGGTCCCGACCGGCAAACGTTTGAGCCTCATGTTAGACATCGTCATTACTGAACTCCAGCTTTACAAGGAAATGAAGAGATTGCACTTGAATGGATATTTAGGTGCTACTTTCCCTGACGCATGTTTGAATCAAAGTGATTACTGATATTAGTGAACAGTACTTGTATGCGTGACTCTATGTCCATGTCTATGTCCTGTTCTATGCTTAAAAGTAAAACATAACGTACTCAGCTACCTTGTGCACATTCGTGGAGTAGGCAATGAGCCGCGCGTATTGCATGAGGGCTAGTGATACTACTTGGCTGCCCAATCCTCGGTAGGTGGAAAGAGGCTCGAACCAGTGACGCAATAGTTGGTAGTCATTTCCCTAAACCACTGGGCCACAACACTGGTCTATGCTGCTATAAGCGGTACTATTATCCTATTATTTTTGTAAATGCAACTGGCTATCTGCTGCTACAACCAAGTTACTGTAAATGTAAATATTTAATAGTGATTGAGTTTGGTTGAACTATATAGTGAACTTGCTTTTTTAGTACCGCCGGAAACATATGTTTTACAATTACAATCTCTGTCCTTTCAAGGTCAGTTTGAACTACCAGTTCTGGTGAATACTTAGTGCCGATGATCAATCGGTAGTTCGATTCCAAAAACTAATCTGTGTGGCTGCAACGAGATATATATGTACCCTATAAGAAGAGCTATTCCCAAACATCTACTAACTTGTCACAACAGCGTTTAACCAAAGCTGACAAGGAATCTACCAAAGAGAGTGTATTACCAACCTCTTCGAAATGTAGAGGCTCTTACACGTACAGAAGGAGGTTAGGATTTCTCATAACAAGAAAATTGTTTATACTGGAAAGCAAAAGTAGGTCATAATGGTCAACTTACAAAGTGTGTCAACGTTTGCTAATAAACTTTTACTTTCATTAAACTTCAACAAATAAATATCACTTACACGTTGCTGTCATGTTTTCGCTGTTCACTTTTTATCTCTGGCACAACTTAGTAGGGAAACTTGTCAACCTTCTTGGTTTCCATGCTTACTTATGAATAATTTTCATCTTTCACAAAACGCCATTTTTTTATAACATTTATATCGGCTATGACTTTCAGTTAGCTATACGTATGTTACTATATTCAACAACAAATTAATGTCCATAATTGTAAGAATACCGTAAACTGAAGTGTCAGAGAACATTGGAACTTAGTCACACTACACAACTAACTTTTGTTCGTTCTTACTTTGAACTATCCACTAAGCAAAATTATCATTTATCTGATGACTGAGGAATTTATGCAGAACCTCAGAAGTATGCATAGCCACCTAAATAGACCTAACCATACGTGAATGCAAGTCTTGAAGTGATGTTTCACTTTTAAAATCCTTTGGTTTTTTTCAATTCGGAATTTGAAGACTAATAAGTATGGAAGCCTAGTATTCATAAAAAAAATCTGCATAAATGTATCAGGAAACCGTTATTTGTATAGCAGTCAAACAAGACTAGGAGTAAAATATCGAGCCTTGGGATTAAATAAAAAGGAAAACTCCTAACACCGAATAATGTTACCCTATAGGTTATGAGGTCATTACAAGATGTTTGTCATGCAAGGCAACAAATATATTCGGTTGATAAGTATATGACCTATGGTGAATATTCCAAGCTTCTTTCTCATATCGTTGGAACATTACTAATTCCTTCATAAGCAAAGTACTTCTCCCATCAGCAAAGAAAAAGGCGTGACTATATTCCCCAAGAAAAACTAATAAGACAAGTGTTCCGCTAAAGTGGTAACTGTTTACCATGCCATATTCATTTTATTACACATGTGGAATATAGAGCATTTAATTTACTAATGGATTGCTTTTAAACTGATCAAAACTAATTTTAAGAATCGCTTACAAAAGGAAATTTGAAGGAATGAACCACCGACTCAGAATTTTGATGCCATTAAAAGCTCTTAACTTTAGTTGGTGCAACTTGAAGACAGTACTTGAACCTAACTCCATAAAAATACTCCTCACCTTTTTCACAATTTAGCGATCTTCTCTTCAATTATATGCAGTAGCTTGTTTTCGTCTTTTAACGTCGTCTATGGTATACTTCTACAATTTTTACCAAATTCACATCAGGAGTTGCAGTCGCTACTTCATCGTAACATCAAATGATTTTACATATACTCGTCGTTTACCAGATTTGAAACTTGTCAAAAACAAAAGCAACTCTGCAGTCGCATACAGGTTCGTTTACCAAGTCGAAAGGTAGGATATGTTTACCCATGTGCCAGTAGATGGTTGAAACCCTCGACACACTATTTGAATCCTTAGTATCTAAAATAACTAGCTAAAGCTGTAGCTGGGAATGCATTTAAATGAAATTGTTATTACGAGAAGTAGAATGATGGAAATTTGAGTGACACTATAACACCATTTATAAGTGAGACGTTGTCTGTAATTAAAAATTGCTACGACACTAATCATTTCGTTGTTGCATTCAGTGCTGAGAAGGGAACAAAAGATACACGGAAACCAAATTTACGATAAGGAAAGTCTGGATACTCTGACAATATATGTAGTAAATGCATATTATTTTTTTCCAATAGTAATATCCTTTCCTACTACATAATGGTATGATACATCAACGTAACAAATATGTATGCAATACACCGAGTCATACTTGATTTTTTTGTTGAGGGTTTGTGATATTATCGGTGATATTAGTTAAACCCAAATACCTTTCTCAGTCACGTACAAATGAGAGACTGGATCTTTATTCTACCATAAGGAATCATAATTTACAGATATCGATTCCTAACAACTGGGGAATAATACTTGCCTAAGTCATCTTCGATTGTCCAAACTACCACATAATATGCACCTTAATGATAGTTTGGTGTTCTCTGAGCTTTGATATTTTTTCATGAACGTTTTAACAATAGGCTTAGTGACATCTTCAGTATTAACTTCTTTATGAAATTAGTGCTGAAGATGTTACTAAGCCTAGCGACGAAAATGTTCATGACAAAATATCAAAGCCCAAAGAACACCAAACCACCATCATTTCAATATGCATCTTAATCAAATATTGCCGAAATTATTCACAATTTAAAAGCCTTTTACCTCTTATCTCTAAAAATATCTCAGTCAAATCACACAATAATCACACATAATAATTATTGAATTGATTCATGAACTTTTTCCATTACCAAGATCTTTAAATTTGTTTAGAAATATCATTATTTCTCGAAAGTTCAAACTAAATAATGTCAAAAAATTTAACTACATTCAATCACGCTGTTTTGGAAAATTCAAACTTCCATAATATTTCAAATCTAACCCAATTGATTTTGTTCATGAGTGGTCAATTAGCAAGGTTACTATGATGATCAGGTAAGCGTAGCCAGAAGACTAAAGAAATTTTTGTTCGGAGGCTAAATGTATTTCACATGAAGTACTCTAATGCATAAGTCACAACATTTTCACTGCTTACCCCTGGTCAATGCTAATATGACTGGTATTGGTATCATTTCCAAATCCTACTGCGAGCACATGTATTCAGATATGAGAGACAAAAGTCAATGTAGAACTCCCCACACAAGTGCATGGGTTCAAGTTGCCGCAATTCACAGTAGTATGCAAGGAAAAAAATGAATAAGAAAGACTTATCAAAGTAGACAAATGTGTATGGGGGTAGAAGAAATTTAGAAACGAGTTAGTCAAATCATTCAAGATATAGAAGTCAAAGAGTGAATGCATCTACGCCATTGTGACCTTTTTCCAGCCACTCCGCCAAAAGTCGTCAACCATTAATTCCTATCATCACACGGACCCCAGTCAGGTAATTTACACCTTCATAGCACGGTTCAGACCAACAATCAGAAACTTCATGAACTGGTGCCGCCTCGTAGTCTGGCCACCCTGAAGCCTCTTCCAACTTAACCAAACTTCTCCTACCATTGCACGCTAAAGTAGGTGGTGGTTCAGCATTTGTAGCATATGATTAAGCCCCCCTCAGTCGATTAAGATTCAGTCTCATCGAGAGACTTGTTTCTTTTGTCTAGAACCATTCACCTTACCTCAATATTTCTCACATGATTCCACTATACTCGAAAAATACCACGAAGAAACTTGTGATCAAAAACTTGTAACCACCTCATATCTTTTACTTCTAACGGCGATGTCCAAGAGCTATATAACAAGACAAAATGGACTGCAGCTTAATACACTCGACCCTTAATAAGTAGTTGGATATCTCTCTGGCACCATAGATGATGCAAGTTGAAAAATGTCAAACTAGCCACATACGCGTATTCATTGTAATACAGTGACTTTATTAGTCAGTCCAGCAGAAACTGAAATCCTCGATTCCGTTCGTTTATTTCGGTTACAAAGATCGTTTTTCGTAAAATAAAGAACCATAATTGGCTACTTCAGTAATTACCAGGGTGGATTTCAGGGTTACTCCATTATTATATGACTAGTATTGACTGAAACGTTTGGAAATGGATGGGATTGTAGGAACGTAAAAATTACAACTCGCGTTTTTCCTGCGCTGGTGTGAAAATTCTAGTCAGTAGCAATTATGAATTTCAGTCCTAATACATAATTAGTACAATCCTACTTCTAAAACCTGCACACATACAAATGCGTTAATCTTTTTCTTTCTCTTGTATTACTTTATAGTAGCTAGGTTGGGAGATTGATTCGATATCAAGTTATATGGTGCTTTGGAATCCGAATCATATTAAAATCTTCCAAACTCAATAGGATTCACACTGCAACCTATTCTTTAGTCATCTACATCTAAAGGACGTTTCAGTAGGTGATTATGGAAAGAAACAGAAGTATAACCACATGGAATCCGTAAAGCTTTAGCATAAGCACATTAACAACTGCGAAATACTGTGTTGATTGGTAATCAAGGTGCATCGTAAGTTTGCTGATGACATATACGGTTGACATCTGCTGGGGATATTACTTGTGATTCAATCAACTGTTGAAGAATAACGATGTAGAATATACACAACTCAACCTGGTGCATGTAATAGGGTACGAGCTACACGATGTTAAGATTGTCAAGGGAAAATAAGTAGAACAGAATTTGAGCTAAGGCTAGGCTGCTTGGAAGTTGGGCTCATATGACAAAGCATGAAGGAAAATATAAACACAAAACTTCCACATATAAACTAACCTTAAAACAATGAAACGCTTCAAATGCGATTTGTTTCTCCTTGCTTTTCAACATATTCATGATCACCTTAAGGTTTTCTGGGTCGGCAATATACCTTGTCATTATTGAGATATTATGCCGATCAAGAAGAAGTTCTCCTAACAACTGAAGCACAATAGAAATGAATAAGAAATGAAATAGTATTGTATGCATCAGTAATCACGATGCTAAACAGAAGTAAGCAAAATCAAAGGATGTGTGGTACTAAAAATGTGTCATTCTATATACTCTGACAAACTTGATTGGTTGAAACTCCATTTGTGAACTAGTCTCAAACAGAGGAGTTTGTGAAGAGCAACTATCAAAATATACTCTTCTATAGTAGTCAAGAAAGTGCACAACCTATATCAGGTCTTCTTAATATCGGGAAATTCTAGACTTTGTTGTGTGGTGGGTAGCAACGTCAAAAAGGCGCATGATGCTCAGCATGAACTGAAGATTATACTAACCGGCTGACGAGATCGAAGAAGGTGAAACAGGATTTGAAACTAGGATATATATATATAGGCAGGTGGACATTTCAGTGTCATGACGGACGCTGTCATCAGTGCGTCAGAGTTTTACGCTTCATGGTGAACGCATTTACGTGGCTACGAATGGTTTTGTGGATTATTATCTTGAATTGTCAACCAATCATTTGAACTCCCTCACAGAAACCTACCAAAAATCCTACACTACTCACACTTGCACTTACAGTTAGACACTGATGTCAAGACTTGTTATAACTACATGTAGCTTTTTACAGCCTTATCTCCCTCTGGATATCAAAATGAATTGGGATAGACAGCGGTTTGCTATCCGTATCACAATCCAACCACAGAGGCATATCAAAGTTCGCATCCTCAATAACTGATTTACCTTCTCTACGTGGAAATATGCTACTAACCTCTACTGTTCACAGGTTGATTTCGCAATGTGTAAATGGTGATTTGAAAACAACAGTGATTAAATGTTTGTAGTGTTGCGTATTCTTCACCTTCGGCAATTATGTTTCAACGTCATACAGTAAGACAGAGTACAAGATACTCATACCTCAATAAGCATATGGTGTAAGTTGGCATAAGCCGATCAGTTTTATATCCACATCGAGAATTCATCGGCAGCGAAAGACCTCGGGTAGTGAATTCTTAAGTAGAAAAAATGGTCTATGCATTTAAATGCATCGTTCACTCGGGTCAGTACGGACTAATCATGAAGAAACAAATGTCCCTTGTGAGAGAAGTAAATGCAAAATATCACATTGTCACTCAGTGTCAAAAGACTAGATTTCGTCAGTATTTCCACCCTACAGGATCATCCCAATGTCGTACGCTAGGTCAATGGATTGTCGATGACAAAGAGATTGCTCCTTATGGGGCCAAAACGAAAGGGGGTGCAACCTCTACAAGGTTAGCGTAATAATTTTCACTGACCAGAGTGTTCTAAAAAAATTTCGTTATATGTAAGGGTTATAGTTCATTATGTACATCTAGTACTTACGTCAAGAATGTCAACAATATGAAACGAATGGTAAAACTGAAACGTAAATTAGCAATCACATTCATGTTTGTGTAGTGAACAATGAAACACACGTAATGTATGAGGACGAATGATACCACCAGGTAGCCGAAGTTATACTGAAACATCGCATTTCACAGAATTACACTATAAAAATTCATTTACATGGTTTCTTATACAAGTGCCCAAGGCAACACCTAATTTGAAAATGATTAAAAGAACTAACCTTCAGTGCTTGTCGTTTTGTAACGTAATTATCTGACAAGATCATGTGCATATAATGATCGAAAAAGTTATCGTAATTCGCTGTTAGAAAATCTGCTACGAGAGCTTTGTGACGTGTTAGTAAATCTTTTAACGTTGCGAATGCATCTGAGCTTACGTCAAATGCTGTGCCTTGTACGTGTTCGAATAACTGATAAAACTCTTGTGACCGAAGGACAACCTTGGCCAAGGCCTCATGTCGACATGCATCCCGGAGCATCTAGTTGTGAGACACAAAAATAAACAATGTACTGGTTCAATCAAGCATAGCGTACACAAAATCGCCTCAATAATGTAGAGATTAGCTTTAACAGAAAACTAATAAAATGAGTGATGCAACTAGCCAATTTAACTTGCTAAAATAGCATAAACGTACTGAAAACTTTGGGAGTACTTTTTCCACTGAAACAAAATTATAATACACTATATAACCGCTGGAAAGTCAAGACCGATTCATAAATGCATATCATCGCACACTAGCCATTTATGTGATACACAAACATTACAACTCAGTTTACTAAGATGAGGAGAAATCCTTAAAAAATCTTCAAATAATGCTTTGAAAAACGATGACTTTTTAAAAAATTTATTTCCGGTTATGCCATCACGTTTGACCGACCTAATTAATTTTGAAGTGAGTAAAGCACTGAATAGGTACAAAATACCACGCCTACACACAAAAACAGAAAAATAAACCAGTGAAGGAAAAAAGTGGAAGGAGCCAGAAAAGAGTACAAGACAGAACAAATACTGTATAGGATTAAAATAGTAAGATATCCTATTTCTCAAGGATAATAGGAATGAATGCAGCCACTTCATATCAAGTCAAGGAGTCTTCTAAACAAACCCAGAACTTCTAATGCTTTGTAACCCTTGAAGTATTATCGTTTAATAAGGTTACTGTGTCAATAGTTTAACTGGATATAACATAAATTAAACCAAACTGATGTGGATTTTATTCACTAGACTACTAGCTACACATGGTTCGATGGCTTATATTACCTAGTTACTTAGGAGGGAATAAGTGGAGATGGGTATGAACCCTAGACCGTTTGGTCAAAAGTTAAATACTTAAGCCAATGATCCAAACCATAACAATTTAGCTAGCTTAACACTTACGAGAAGTGGAATGAAAATTTGAGAATTAATAGAAATTCACACTAGATGAAAGTTTGAAATCACAGAACTTACTGCTCCATAGTGTATGGCACTATCAGGTCTCGAATATCCTTGGAGTAATAATATTAATATTTGAGGGTTGGATAAAAGATATTGAGCGGCTGGATTGTATGATCCTACCTGCCGTCGCATAATATGACCGAATAGATCAACGATATGTTTAGAACTCTGAACACAAAAAGTTACTTGACAGAACAGAATAGGAAGTACCTCAAATTCGATAGCATCCAAATTATTCACAAGCAGTGGTAGAAGATTGAGATTTATAATTTCATGCGTTACGTCCGTGATGATTTCATTAATTCGTGCTCGTTCAGAATTAGAAAATTCCGCATCCCGTTCTTTACCAGTCAGTCGCGTGTCCGACTTATCGGTCAGCAGCTCCCGGAGAGTGGTCAAAGCTCTTGCGATTTCTTCTACAGCTTTCTTCCGTTCTTTATCAGTTTTGAAACTGCCACTTAATGCCTTTAAAACTTAGGTAACTGTGAAGACAAACTTACGATTAGGTTTTCATTGACCGTTTGAATTAACTCACGAGGACTTTTCGGTTTCCCGAAGAGTGGCATACTTTGGAATGTTTATGGCTAAAAGTAGACAGTAATGCCATCATGAAGGTAATTAGTGTATTATGTTTCTCAACAATGGTGATTGTATTAAAAAAAGATCAACAGCGAAATACCTGCATCAATAAAAGCATCTTGAATACTGAAAATCAACCACACTAAAACAGTTAAGCGGAACTTCAAAAATTTTGTACTATACTTTGCAAAATGGTCACAATAGTGGTTTGTGCACATTTATTGCACGTTGGCTAATTACAATATTAAAGTAATGGTTGAGAATCAAACCTAATCCACTTACCAAGATTCTTGCAGATCCTTTACTAAATTAACCGGTAAAATGAGTACGCCTAAGTAAAGCCCAAGGTGACTCTATAGAGCATAGTGATTAAAACATGGTATACCCAATTCAAAGAACACACTGGTATTCAAATGTCAAGGTCTAACAACTGTAAATTCAACAACAAAATAGTCAGCAACAAGCGAATGCAACAAGTGTGGTTTTATATTTGACCTTCAGCCCCATCTCAGTAGGTGGTGCTTGTTCCTAAGAAGCATAACTTGCCATCGATAAATCTTTGCCTACTCATCACAGTTCTTCATTGTAAAATCCATTCTCCTCCCATACGCCTTTGCTTACTTTGATATCCATCTTTTACTATCCACTTATTTTTTGTATGCTACTGCAAAGTGCTGCAACTTGAACTGTTGCACCTGTGGGTCAGGTTTTACGTTGGTTTTGTCTGCCTATCTGACTCTTCCTCCCTACCTCATAACACGGTTACGGCATAAATTACTTTGAGACAGACAAAAACAGGACGTTGTACATAAGTGCATTTGTTCGAGTTGCAACACCACAATAGCAAACAAAGAACAAGTAGTATACCAAACAGCAGATATCTTAATGCTGCTGCACTGAATGGGTCAATAAGAACAAGGAATGACCGTGACACTTACCGACGCCCATTCCTAAACTCTGCACATGTACTCATCGATTGCAGTTTGGATGAATCAAAAACTGAATTCTATGAAAAGTTGTCACTTTTGCTATACAAAATAAAAAGTTTCCGTATAGTCATAATACTAGGCAACTCCAAAGCTCAAGTAGGAAAGCCAACTCAATCGTAAAGACATCAATGACACGACAACGGTGATCATCTGCTGTTTTAACAACCACTGGGTTTCGGCTAACAATAACTTCAACCATGAGGAGAGACACTGTCACATAGCCTCTGCCAACATCAAACCGAAGGTAGAAACCGACACATCAGATCGATGAAAGCCATCGTTGAAGGGAATGGGTTGAAGACTGCTGCATATCTGTTTAGATTCCAATTATGCCTTAGTACAGCACCATTGTGTGTGCTATTACTGGTAGCAAAAAACAGGAAGCAGTTCATCCTGCACGTGCACAGCTTCAAGATGAGAACGTAAAGTATGCATTTGAAATGAGACAGTTAAGCATCAGTCTCGACATCATATCCATCCTCATTCAGATGAAGCTTCATGTGATATTCAATCTGTTGGAGAACCAGCGGGAAAAAAACAGTTTATAACAAACAAACAAGGCCTAGTAAAACCTAGTGGATTCCTAAAACCTCATCAAAAATACGTGACGCCAGAAGACTCATTCAAGCTGCCTGCCTGGCTGGTTCTCATCACAATGAGGAGTGGAAGAACCTCAAACTTCAACTAACAAAGTATCCACAATCACCGCGTGCAGCGACTGACTGTCCGACAGATTCAACTAATAACATACAAAAAGGTCCATTCGCTCAAGATGCCGTCTACTACGAAAGCGTTAAGAACCCTACACATTCTCTTCACAATAACACTGCCATAACACCTCACAGTCAACTGAGTGAAATACCGCATTCAGGTCAAGAAATATGCCAGTTGTCGCCGGTAGGTATGCCTATATTGCAGAACATGTCGGAGGGTGAAACTATGATCGATGCACTCTCATCCAGGTCTAAAACCTGCCTGGTTTTCATGAGTTCGCTGTTCTCGAACTGCAGTTAGGCGTTGAATAACTATGGGGATTCTAGGATTTCGAACGCAATATTGGTGAAACTAATTCACCTATAATTGACACAAGATTTATCTCCCTTCTTATAAACTGGTATGATCAGTAGAGTACACCAGTCTGGTTCCCATACACTACTTAGTACGTCCGTGACTTTAAGCAGAGATTCCCCACCTTCATCCTTGAAAACGTTGAGTGGTAAACTGTCAGGTCGTGATACGTTGCATCGTTTCAGGTTCGATACAGCCTTCTCAGCTTGAAAGAGAGTTGGAGGACAGACATCTACGTCGCATTCAGGTTCAGACTAGATGTTGGGTAACTGAAGCATTGGTGAGGTTCAGTTGAAATGTGCTTCAAGGTGTTGTACTCACTATTCTGGCCGCCTGTCCAGAGGGGTTATTAGCACCCCATTCTTTTCTGGGTTAGTTTCTCTCACCATCGTGTTCTTATGGTCGGTATTCTTAATAAGCCTAAATAGTAAGCGAGTGTTATCAAACTGCGATGTCTTTTCCACCTCTCTCTCTTTCCAGCTGAGTCCACCGGAACGTACTCTCGGTCCCCTGAAATCACATGAAAAGTCACATATTGGAGCTTCGAATGTCGTTGCCCTGTGTCGAGTCAGTAAACAGGCTTCACTGGTAAAATCTCTGTTAAGCCGGACCACAGATGTGTGCTGTTTTTGTGAAGCACACATACAGAACTTAAATGCGGTTGTTCACTTAACCTTAAACCCAATGACTAGCTCTCGTGGACTCGCTGGTGTTGGCATAGCACTTAGTCGTTGAGCAGAAAGTGCACTACTGAGCTGGATACCAGTCAATAGTCATCTTGGGTGACTTTGACTACACAGGGATTGACCTACTCACTTCAGGCCACCTAGTTCACTTCAAGTATGTAGACGATATCATCCTGCTAGGTACAGACATTCACAAAATATCGGGTATTCTGAACGCCTCAAACAGAAAGCTCAGTATGTTCCGTATGCGTTTCGCTGTCACCTGTGAGAAAATGAAAGACGACCCTCAAGGACTGGTCTGTCGCAACCACTCCTACTTCACTGATACAGAGTCAAGTGAAGGAGGAATTTCCAGACCGTTTCACTTACTTGACGAGTTGCAGCATCACCCTCAACGGTCTGGCTGCTCACAGAATTTCAGCTCGAATACTGAAGGCCTATTCGGCATTCGCCTACTTCAGTCACCTCTGGCACCAACTAGCGAGATATCCATCTGTTCGTCAAAGGAGGGCTATACTGCGCTGCAGTCTGCTGTGTCCTGTTATATGGATATGAGACATGGCCGTTAAAAGTAGACATGAAGCAGGTACAGAGTAGTGTGTCGTCGTAGCATTGTCCACGTTAGGTGTAATCACCGTGTGAGTAGTGTTGAGGTCAGGCGGAGGGTACTAGCCAAGAAAGGCAAGTTGATTGTTGAGGTAGTTCAGCTAATACTGAGCATCAAAATAAAAGCTGACCAGGCATAACAGGTCCCAGCTGTCTCAGTTTACGAAGGTACACATCAACTGACTCACGTCTTCTAACTAGAACTTCTACAGTAGTGATATTGTGATTCCAAAGCAGGTGGTTAATGCTGCAAAGCCATGGTGGTCAAACACCAAAAGCCTTCTCAAGTTTTCCACCTTTAATGTCTGTTCTACAGCCATTCAACAGAACAGAGAGAACTATTGCACAGCATACTCAATAGGCAATCAAATACCTCGTCAGCACTATAGATGGTATAATTTAGCAAACGGAGAACAAATGTCTGAAATTTTCAGGGATAGAAATAGAGGACTGTCTAGACTAATTGTGCCATTTTAAATTGCCAAACTTCGAGTCAATACAAAATGTAAACCACCAAAAAGGATACCAAGTGCATGAGTTTAAGTTGCCACACTCTACACAGCAGAATGTAAGGAACATAAATAGGACTGTTTTCAAAGGAGACCAAGGTTTATAGAGGGAGAGGAAATTTAAAATGAGTTAGCCAAAACATCCAAGCTATAGAAGTCAAGGAGTGAATACATCTGCGTTATTATGACCGACTTTCAGCCATTTCAGTAAGTCAACCACTAATCACTATCGTCCCGGGAACCCAAATCAGGTAGTCTACACCTTCCTTACACTACCCAGACCAATATTCAGAGACTTTATATAGATATGAAGAAGCTATTCAGCTACATGGTAATGTGCCGTAAAAATAAAATTAAACCTCTCAGTGAAGCCAAAGAATAGCAACCATAATTTAAGAGTGCGCAGATGACTTTCAACGACCAATCAGACCACAAGTGATCTGGCTAATGAACCGTAAGCAATGAATGGTGTACAATTCCCGGGTGAAACCCCTTCTTAAGAACTTTTTCTAGTATTGTGTACCAAATGCTTATAAGAATAAGTCGGGGTGTCAGAAAAATGACCGTGCGTAAGCATAGAGAAGTAACTGATGGAGATACACTTCAGTGCGGTTTGTCACAGAAGGCATATTGTTTATGATGGGGATTTTTTACTGAGTCTTAAGTGTTGTAAGACGATTTTTAAGCCTCAGCTTATCGCATGAAATAATCTGGTAACACGAACCAACCCACGCACAGAAGTTGGCTTAACTTTTTTACGCATGTCAGTGGAGAAATGAAACAGGTTTCTGGAGATTTTTCTGTTCAATCATTTTTTAAATATCAACTTATGCCCTTAAAATTGCTTTTGAAAGTTATCGCGAAGCCAGTGGTTGCTTTGGATCATTTTTGCGTCTGTTGGATCCGGTCGTTATTCCTTAATTTCATCCAAGTCAGATCGAAATTCAAGGTGTGCTGCACTCACCTGAGAATCACGCTCCACTAGACAACCAAATAGGAACTATTTGAGAGTCGTCATCGCCTACTGCAGTAGCCCAGATGGCATTTGAATACAGCCCAACAATTAGACCTGAAACCGACACGAAAAACCTCAGAGAAAACTTATAAATGGAAGAACTGCCTCCGAAAATATCGCCTGCTTACAATAACAAGTTCCATGACTTCATACTATAACAAGAGAATAACTCCCATTACGAGGACGTCAGAGCAAAAACACAATTACAACAAAATTCAAGACGAAACATTTGAAAATTTCGGACTAAACTCCTTAGTGTCTCAAAATACGGTAGAAGTCTAATGACTCAATTACAGCCAAAAATTCCTCAATCCCTAAGTAGTAAGCGTTAATTGGGTACGACCACTAATGTTTGATAACATCATTGTATTTAACAAGCTGGTCGCTTCTTTGTACTTGAACATCTTATAAAAGGTATTCCAACGCTGAAAAACCTAATTTCAAAAGGCTTACTTGCTAAGAGGTCAAAAACTGCGGAGGATGAGGATAGGAACGTCGCAAATGCACCTAACCTCTCTCAGCCAGACAGACCGCTTTCACTATTAGCTTATTGTAAGTTACTTTGCACAATGTTCAACAGTGACTTCGTTGTCTCAGAAGAAGCGGAAATATATTCAAAGAAACCTTTCAGTATCCAAAACCAAATGAAACACCAAATTTAAAATACCATGGCGAATATGTCTCATTAACAAAACTAATTTAATTCACTTTCAATATTGTGCATTAAACCTAGTGAAAAATGTTTTGATTCTGTCCTAGTGATTCTGAACAGTGATCTTCACTTGTAGGCTGAAGCGCTCATATAAGTAATCAGTGCACAACAAGTAAATCTGTGGATAATCATTTGCAAAACGTTGTATTGTGAACGACGGCGGCTTGCTTGAATTTTGGGCTACTAAAATTGTCCACGCTATTGTGTTCTTCCTTGGTCTCGTGTTCGTGGGTACACAAAAAGTTCGAATAATTGGTGATTGGCCCCTGCGCTTTTCAAGTTCTCATCGGAACAATTCCTGAGTTGCTGAGCCCGACGTGATAACAAATCCCTACCAAGGACAAATCTTAAATTGGTCAGCTCATTCCATTTGTTCGCTTGCACACCGTTTTCATTTTGATAACCCTTATGTATCTTTGCACAACTCCTTCCCGCTATCAAAACTGAATGGGTTGATCTTGCTGTCATACATGCAATACCACGAGGATCAGACAGGTATGTTACAGCTCATACGTTAAGTCCTGAAGTAAGTTATTCCTATGCACTTCTCAAGGCCGCACTACTGAAGAAAAGAGATCTCGGATGGCCAGCGCCTAGACAAATTACATCGTAGCATCGAGAAAGGCAGAGACTCACTCAACCACTGAAGTCCTCCAACGCGTACAAGAGGTTATGGGCACACGAAAGTTCCATAATGGTCTTTCCGAGAACAGCTGCTCCCAAAACTACCACAGCCGGTGCAAAGTGTTGGCGATACTTCGGTCAGTCCCACCGGACGACCTTGCGGTCTCAGTAGACAAAATACTGCAGATCACCAGCGGACCCGTCTCCAACGTGTGTTCTATCCGCGATGAACTTGTGAACCAGGATTCTGGAGTAACTAAGCTGTGCAACTGTTAAACAGCCGCTACGAGGCCCCAGGTTACGTAGCACATTACAGAAACGCGTCTCAGCCCGTCGTAGCAACTCCCGTGGTTATCCACAAACTAAATCTAACAGAATGGAAAATCCTACGTGGCGCCGGTTTCACAATAACTGCGGGGAAGAAGCCGGAAAATGTCAGAAGCCAAGCAGTTTCAACATGGACACAAACCCGGGAAACTGTCACGCCGGCACGCGTTCACGGCAATCATAGCCGGCGGAAACAGCCGTCTGCTTTACGTCACAGATATAAAAATGAAAGCTCGCTACCTCGTCGAAACTGATGCAGAAGTTGGCGTTCTTCATGCACTGCCAAATGAGTGTCATCATGACCCATCCGTCAATCTCCAAGCGGCTAACGGCGAGGCGATCGCAACATTTGGGAGACTGTATGCCTACCTCAACTTGGGTTTACGAGAACCCATTCACTGGATCTCCCTCCCAGTTGACGTCTCTATGCCTATCACTGGCATAGATTAGCCGAACTATTGCGATTTACTCGTAGATGCTAGCCGTCGACGTCTGACAGATTATAATAAAGTTATCTATTGGCAGTACCACCTACGTAGGTTCAAGTTTAGCCGTCGTTAGCAGTAAACAATCTGGCGATGTGTCTTATCAAGCAGTTTTGGAGAAATATCCACATTTGCAACAACCAAAGCATACTCTTCCGTGCATAACCAGCAACGTTATGCATCGCGTGACAACCACAGGTCCACCTGTGGCATCCAAAGCGCGCCGTCTAGCTCCTGATAAGCTCAAAACAGCGAAGAGTGAATTCGACCACATGCTCGAACTGGACATTATCAAACCGTCAAACAGTCCTTGGGCATCACCATTGCACATAGTTTCCAGAAAGGATAGCAACGACTGGTACCCAGCCGATGAGTACCGCTGCCCGATACCATGTGCTTACCACTTGTCAGCGACGTTTTGCGGAATGAACATATTCTCCAAAACCGGTCTGGTCAGAGCGCATAATCAGTTGCATATGGCAGCAGAAGACATCGCAAAAACAGCCATCACTACTCCTTTTTGCCTCTTAGAACTCCTGCGCATGCCATTCGGCCCTCGGGATGCAGCACAAGCATTCCAACGCTTTATGGACGATGTCTTCCGTGGTTTAGACTTTGTCCATGTCTACACCGACGATTGTCTCATTGGCAGTCAAGGTAAGGAACCTCACCTTAAGCATTTGGACCCCGTATTCAGTAAACCGAGAAAACATGGGATCAGAGGTCAACCTGCAGAAATGGGAAGTAGAGGTTGAATCGCTCATCTTCCTTGAACAAGCCATTGACAACAAAAGTACACCCCCACTGAGAGATAAAGTGACGGCTATCATGAACTATCCGGAGCCGACCACTGTGAAGCAGCTACGCACTTTCAATGGCCTGATAAGTCATTACCGGAGGTTTGTAACCAGTCGTGCCTCTGTCATGAAACGAACTCACAGATCTACTTCCAGGACAGCGAAGTATATTATTCCGGACAACCTGGCTAGACTTAGTTTTAGAGTTTAGCGACAGTTGACCGACAACCAGTGACAACCTTTAACCTTCTTCTCAGGGCGGCTGAAAGGGATGGAAACAAGGTACAGTACATTTGGCAGAGAGCTCCCAGCTATGTACTGTTCCGTGCACCATTTTCGGCATTCTGGTGGAGGGTCGTGACTTCGTTACTTTCACAGACCACAAACCGTTAACCTGCCCTCTTCGCTCGGCATACTCTCCTAGTGGGTCGCGACGACTGAATTACATTTCTCAGTTCGCGTCGGATGTCTGTCACTTATCCGGAGCAGACAACTCCCTATCGAAGACTTTGATCTCGTTGAACTAGCTAGGTGTCAAAAAGAAGACCTTGGGCTGCACCAGGAGTTGTTGTTCGCAGCTCTCAAGCTACAACTGTGTCCAGCAGGATTGGGCAGGGATAAAAGCCAATGCGACATCTCTCTTAGTCAACCACGCCCAATGGTTCCAAGAGGTGTCGACGCAGCGTCTCCACAACGTTGCATAACGTGTCCTATCCAGTCGCACAAGCCACCATGGGGCTTATCGCGCAACGTTTCTACTGGCCGGGAATGAACAAAGACTTCAAGCAGTGAGCCCAGTCGTGCTTAGCTCGTCGGAGGTGTGGTGCCACGTGACACACGGAAAGCCCTTTAGGTCCTTTCTCAGCTCTAGACATGCGTTTCAGCCACATCCATATATACATTGTAGGACCTCTGCCAGAATCTATTGGATGTACTCACCTTCTCACCTGCGTGGATCGTTTTGCTAGATGGCCGGAAGCAGTGCCGATTGGGACATCACTGCTGAAGCTGTCGCTAGTGTTTTCGTCGAAAGATGGATCTCGGACTTTGAATGTCCATCATACGCAACAACCGATCGTGGGTGCTAGTTCGAGTGTGGATTATTTTATGCTCTAACCGCACTTTTACGTCGCACTTGGTACCGAATGATAGCCTACTATCCACAAGCAAATGGCACAGCAGAACGTTTCCATGGCAATGGGAGTTCTTCACTTTGACGCACTGAATATGCTAAAGGTGGTACTTTTTGTCCCGTAACCGCGATCCGATGTTTTTGGTGGAGTTGGACGACCTCCCCTCTGTGCTATTCAGGACTCGTAAAGTCTTGTAGATTTTTCGACATGTATCAGTGTAATGATGCCCATAACCTGGCTTTTCTCATGTTAAATTACTAATGTGAGAATAAAAATTTGTCTATTTATTTATTTAATAGCTTCCTTTTCGACTGTGAACATACCTCAGTGGACCAAGGCCCTCCCTCCAGCCCTACTAGGTATTCGTAAGGCGTTGAAAGCTAATGCCGGATGCACCTCTGCAGAAATCGTCTATGGGACTACTCCTCGCCCACCAGGTGAGATTGTTTCCCCTTTCAACTTTCAAACATGTTTTCGACAGGACATCTTACGTGACTAGGCTTACGAGCGCAACGCGTTCACTCAGGCCAACTCCCGTCAGATATAAAACAACCGATGTATTCGTCTACCACGTTTTGCAAAAGACGTCGCACGTGTTCATTCTCCACGATGCCGTTCATTGATCACTTAAACCACCACTTTACAGTGAACCATTCAAAATGATCAAGCGGCAAGAGAAATTCTACATAATTGAGCGAAATGGACGTGGACATACTGTTAGAGCCGACCATTTGAAACTAGCTCATCCCGAAGGTAACCCCATTATAAGTGACGTTTCAGCTCACTATAACCGACCAGTGGATGGCCCAATCATCAAAATTCGTGACGGCGCGCCTGGTAATGCACAGATGCAGCAACAACAGGCGCAACGAAAAACATGACCAGGTGGAACCGCCAGGTTACGCAGTATTTAAATATTAATAATAATGATAATAATAAAGTATTTCATACGACATAAGTTACATGAAAACAAACTAGTTTACAGGTTTGATCATTTTGTTAATGTGAACTGACTGTTATGTACAAAGTCAAACTATACAATAGATACCGTTTTCCCCGGAACATAAAAGATGCGCCTAGATAAAGAACGTTAATGCTTCGCAGACAGCAAAGTATGAAACAGATGAAAGCCAGCATAATTGTCCGTCGTACCGAAGCAAGCTCAGTTCGAAAGTAGGAATTATTCGGCCACTGTCTGAGTCTTCCAGTATTCTTGAAGGTAGGGCGGGTAGTGCAGCCGTGACCGTGGGTTGTATGCGTTCGTCATAAGGTTAAGATGGCACAGTGCATGCTGACAAATTAGACCACCAGGATTTCAAATGGATGAACGGCCGGTTGGGTGAACCTGAAAAATGAGTGACAAAAGCTAGCTGCAGGCGAAATTCGAAACGGGAGCACAGGAATACTACGCCAAAGCAGATCGACCATGATACATGTACGTGAGTTCTGTGTACTGACTACAAAAGTTACTCGAAGAGGCATCCGAAACCTACTGTTTACGGGTTAGCTAATGGGGAAGAAGATGAAGGTGCATACAAAAGTAGTGGAAACTAAACTGAAGCCGAAGATATCACTATGGAGTGGATAGAATACTCAACTTAGCAGCGT